TAAAAAGATATTTGTACTTGCTGTAAGCTTGTACTGGGGCAGGTCCCCATATATCAATATGGAGATGATCTCCATAGGATTGTGCAAGAGATGTTGTTTGTATTTTTGGTATTTCATTGCATTGTATGTTTGCTTTGATACAATCTGTACACTGTGCATTTTTATTGTCTGTTATCCTTTGACTTATAATCTCAGGATACTCTTGTATGAGTTTGCACAAGTAATCAAAATTAACATGACCCATTTGTCAATATAAATCAACAATAGTGATTGTGTTGATAGATTGTTTATTATAATGAGAAACTATCATATACAAGTTATTTTGTACATGTATTTCACCAATCTTTGTATGAGCAGGAGAATAAATAATACATTCATTGTTTGTTTTTGTTAAAACATATCCTGCTTTGCATAATAGTGCTTCACTAACGAGTGTGAAGTTCAGATTGGGATGATAGTATACGTTTTGTAGTGAAATTGTATTCACCTTTGTATGCTCATTGGCTTCGTTTTGTAGTTTTATGTTAAATGTCATCACTCTACTTTTGCTAAGTGAGAATGATGATTTATTCACAATTGTAACGTTTATTAGGGTCAAGTTCCGAACATTTGTAAGACAGAACAAGTATGGAGTAGTGTGTACATTTGCACCAGAGTCCAATATATCAATACAATGTATTAGTTCAGTATCATTGTAATGTATTGTGTTGATACATACGTTTGGATTGTAACTGAACTCCTTAATGACTTCTTTCATATTGTCAAATGAGTTCATGAAGTTGTCTACTTGCATGACACCATCCTCTTGTACTTTGAATACTGAAAATACATCAGATTCAGCAGATAGAGTAGATTGAACAGGTAAGCTGCTGGAACTTGATGCTGAGGCTTCTGCAATTGTAGACTCTAGCATTAGTGTTTTATTAATGTCTTCAATGAATGCTGTTTCGTTATTGTCTCTAATGAATACTGCTGTATTAAGTGCAGGTTGAGACAGTGTAGTAGTAGTAGTAGAAGCAGTAACTGTTTGCCTATGCTTTTTCTTTCAAGCTTCTGTTGTTTTGCTTGTTGGAGGATTTCAGCAGTCTTTTGACATATGCCTGTACTTGTTACAGTTGTAGCATTTAACTTTATTGTAAGGCTTCATTTTGCCTTTAGCTACACTTTTGCCTTTTGTTTGTAGGCTGTCTTGTTCAGTATCTTGTTTCGTTTGAGAGTACTGAGAATGATACTCAGTATATGTGTTTTGTAATTCATGTATCAGCTTAGCTGGCATCAGAATGTCTTTCTGAGCTGCTGTAACTGTTGGTAGTTGATTATAATAGGTAATCTGCCTGTCTAGCATTGTTACTACCCATCTATACTCACAAGGAGTAGCAAGATTAATTGCTGAGATGTATGTATTGTTATTGGGGGCTTTATTATGTGTAGACAACTGCCTGTAGATTTGTTCAATGTTGTCTAACATCTTATCAAACTGTGATACATGCCCTTTTACTGTAAACAACATGGATATGTCTACAGCATGCATCATCATTGTTTGAACATTGTATTGTTCAGAAAGTGCCTTCATGAGACTTCTAACACTTGTATGTGTTGTGAAGTTTGCATAAATTGTATCAGTTATTGTTTTTGTTATACAATGATACAAAACATTGCCTGTATGTATGCTAGCATCATCAGAGGAAGGGGGATTGTGCTCTAGATGGTCTAAGAGCATCATGGCAGCAAGTGCACTGTGTATGCACAAGTGCCATATCTTGTATCCCTTTGCACCAGCCAACTTTTCTGTTCCCTCAAAGAACTTTGTAATGTCAGAGTCCTTCATTGTAGCATTAACAAAGGTATGTGTTGTAGACAACATTGTAATGAGTTTGGGGGGAGAGGGAGGTCTTGGGCTTGGTGGTCTGGCAGGAGGCAAAGGCGTTCTGCAAGAGCAAGTGTGTGGGGGCATTCAATGGGCACCAAGGCTCATAACCTTTTAACAAGTGTAGCAGGAGTGCCCCAAGTACTCTCTCTTATTGAGACATTAAGCAAGTATCTACCTTATATACTACATAGTGAAGTCC